AGCAGTCAGGGACAGAGGCTTACAAAAAAAAAATATATATATATATATATATATTTGACATTGTCAAATGCATCCCCATCGTCAAAGGAAAAACAGCTGTGATGTCAGCCTTGGGTGCTCTTGCCATGTGTCACAGAATCAGCATGGATGCACAGAGCATTGTGTGTTTACAGCCCCTGGATGTACACTTGAACATGAATGGCGGTGAAAAGCCTTTATTCTTCTTCCAAGAGATGAACAGCAGTCTATACTCAGGGCGCGAGTTACCTTGGAGGATGCTTCCAGCTAGGGCTGTTGGCATAGGTATGCTCTCCTTGTAAAGTTCTCCTTCAGCTCTCTTCTCAGAAGGTTCCTATGATCTAACTTCATTCTCTGAATGAGAATTGTCAAGTGACCATATCACATTTTGAAAATGCAAGCTGGTATTTTCATGTCACTGCCTTTTCACATGTTATGGAACGTGTTTGTGTTTATTGTTGGTCTCTCCTCATGTTCCTAGAATGTTAGGTGCACGAGAGTAGAGATGTCAGTGGGCTTTTGTCATTGATAGTTTCCTGCTGCCTAAAAGAATGAGTGATATCTCATAGACCCTCCATGATACCTTGTTGAATAAATGAATTTCTGGGAACATCGAGAGCCAGAAAAATAAATACGAGTTTTGTCTGGCGGGGAATCCAAATGATGTGCAAGTCAAGATGGATATATTGTATCTTGAATAATTGTAGTAAAATACTCTTAAGCCATGGAAAATGTATTGTAAATTTCATGAAACTCAACCACTTACATGTAAAATTATAACATAATTGGGAAAGCTGTCTTTTTCTCCAATATGTTTAACAATAGAATGCTATTTCCAAATCACTAAGCAAAAACAGGAGTTTATTAAGTATACCAGAGTGTTGACTTTGCCAGTTGAATTATCTCCTGAAAGGCAAGTACAAGGAACTTACTTGAAGGTGAGCTCCATTCCTTTTTAGGATGGGGCATGTTCTAGATCACTACAGTGTAACATTGTTGGCCAAGGAGATCTGGAGGGAAGACTTGTACCCAGAGAACGTGGCAGAGTTTGATATGGAATTTATAGTAAAGGTACTACACCACATTGGAGATGTCGTTTGAAATGCCTTTCATTTACCTGCTCTCATTTAACAAGATTTGGGGTTTCAGCTCCTATAAGAACTTTGTCTGCAATCCTACAGATTGCATAACTAGTAATGAAAATGTTATTTTAATTAAAATGTTTGAACTGTTCCAACTTACTCGATGACAGAAGAGCCTGTCAGCTGACTGGCACCATAAGTTTATTAATCATGTGGGTCCTCAGTCTTTTGTTTGTAGAAGCGTAGCCTCTTTCCAGGAGGTATGTTTTCATTGCATCTTTATTTAGAAATCGGGATTTTCTTATTAAGCCAATATGTGCATTATGTTATAGGATATCAGGCTGACATGATGAGTCATAACTTTCAGGTGGTATAAATGTTGAGCCCACTGAAATGATTAAAATTGCCTTGGAAATGATAAATATATAAATTAAGTAGTAAAAAAAAAATTGATAGAAAAGCTCCTATCTTTCTCATTATTCAAAACAACATACTCTCCAAAATAGTCTTATTACCCCAGGTGGTAAGTAATATATTTGTCTAAATGAATTTTTATGCAAGTTTTTATTGTGATATTTTCAAAAGTCTAAGTATGAATCTCTAGTAACAATATATAGGATCACAGACCAAGAGGTTCTGTTTCTGGAGATAAAATAAGGCAAGTGGCTTTAGTAATTTTAAAATTATCACCCATCTGGTGGTTTTCATCTTGAAGGCTGTTAAATGGAACCAAATAGTTTTACTCAGAAGTAAAAGAAAATGACACATTGTGACAACATAATACTAAAAACTAAGCCAGTAAGAGGGAGGTCAAGTTGGTTGATTCAGGACCCATGAAGAAACACAACGTTGCTCTTCTGTCATTTGGGAAGATGGTATTGCTTTTCCTTCAAGTGTTTCTTAATAAGTATTTTTTAAGTATTTTCTCTGTGTGTGTGTGTGTATATATATATATATATTTTTTTTTGATGTAGTGTTCCATGATTCATTGTTTATGTATAACATCCAGTGCTCCATGCAGAACGTGCCCTCAATACCCATCACCAGGCTAACCCATCCCCCTCCCTCTAGAACCCTCAGTTTGTTTCTCAGAGTTTTTTAGGGAAAAAAAAAAAAAGGATTGGCACTATCATTTGTATAGATCTGAGCAGGGCTCTATCCAGGGAAGAGGCCTCCATTTCCCTTGAAACCTTCTGAGCCATGTGTTCTTGTGAAATTGTCTAGTCCTTCCCTGTAATGGAATGAGCAGAGGTTTCAGACTCACCACCTCTACCACGTCTTCAGCCCCTCGCCAGTTTATAATTTTAAGCTAGTCAACATGACCTTTCCTCCACAGAATGGAGATAATAGCACCTACCTTAGAGGCTATCCTAAGGACAGGTTGAGAAAATTTATGTCTAATCATTTTGAAGACCCCATAGATGCTGAGTCAGAAATGCTCCTATTAATCTCACTGTTTGATGCACTGAGCATGCATTTATAGCAACTCACTCATTTAATCCTCAAGAGAAACTTCTGGGGTAGGTACTGTTTTATCTTCATGTTAATGATGAAGAAGGTAAGACAGAGATGCTCTCTGATTTGCTCAAAATCATGTAACTGGTACTTGAATAACTTTATAAAGAATAACTTGAATTTATGACTCTAATCCACTGCTCTTACATATGCTAGCACTGGTCAGTTGTAAGCATGATTTCTATGTTCTCTTAATATTTAATACTGGGCTCTTCTTTGGGCTATCTATGCCTAGAAGTTATAAAAGCAGAGGCTGAGTCTGTTGCCAGTAAGGGAGAAAAAAATGTGTGAAGGCCAGGTAAAAAGAAGTTTCCTTTTTTGTCTGTTTGTTTTAGATAAGGAAACAGAAAAATAGCTCCCATTCTTAAATGTGTGTGATCTAGTGCAGTGACCTTTGAAATTTAAGGACTATGAATCCTGAGTGAAAAAAAAATGGGCTTGGGCGCCTGGGTGGCTCAGATGGTTAAGCATCTGCCTTCAGCTCAGGTCATGATCCCAGCGTCCTGGGATTGAGTCCCGCATCAGGCTCCCTGCTCCTTGGGAGCCTGCTTCTCCCTCTGCCTCTCTCTCTCTCTCATGAATAAATAAAATCTTTAAAAAAAATGGGCTTGCACTTTTAATACAAGTTTAAAATAACTTATGTGTATTTATGTATGCTACTGTACAAATAAACTTTATAAAACAGAAAGATGGATGAAAAAAATGCATGTAAAGGTGGAATAAAAATATTTCTTTGGTACATTCTGATGAGTCTTACCACAAGACGTCTAAGGAGAGAGAATCCTAGGCAGGAGTGGTAAGCCCAAGACCCTCAGAGAACAATATGGCCCACCAGAAGTACTTGGTTATAAGAAGGGTTGGACAGTCATCTAAACACTGGGCCATCTCACAAGGAAATGTGGATTTCTATGATATTCTGGAAACTCAGAAGACCTGGCAACACTGGTTTGTGTTCCCACCCAATGGCCATTGACAGAAATTAGTCCCAGCTGGCCTCCACAGACAAACCCTGTGCTCCTTCACAGCCTCACCATCCCCATTGCCCCTTTGCACTCATTCACTCTTTCCTTTTGTCTTCTTGTCCCTGTAGACACTTGAGTGTAGAACCCCTGAATGAGAGAAGCAGAGCTCCTGTCCCTGCCCCACCATGATCTATAACCAGGGTCACTTTGAGCAATTCCATGTGAATGATTTCTTCAATTTACATGGAAAGTCAGCCCATCATTCTTTCAGTAAGACTCTTGGTGTGCTCGCTGGCCACTGATACCTCACTCAGTTTCTTTACTTGCTGGGAGATTGCAAAGAAAAGCAAAGGGATGAAAGTGAAATGCATCCCAATGCTTTGGAAGATAGATGTGGTAAAAAAATGGATGATTTATCTTTGGTCTTACTTGGCATAGTCAATCGCCTATAGCTCTGCTAGACAGCAATTCAAATTGTAATGAGGGGTTTTTCTATTTGATTGTGTAAAACAAATGTCCATTGAAATCTTCATGTAGGATATTAATAACTAGTTTGTCAGCTTAAATTGTCATAAAACAACGTACATATGGGGCGCTGGGGCGGCTCAGTCAGTTAAGCCACTGACTGGTGGTTTCGGCTCAGGTCATGATCTCAGGGTCATGTGGTTTAGCCCCATGTCCAGCTCCACGCTCAGAAGGGAGTCTGCTTGAGATTCTCTCCCTCCTTCCGTCTCACTACTGGAACACTATCTCTAAATAAATAAATAAATAAACTTTTAAAAATAAAATAATGTACACTGTATCACTGAACTATGCTATGGACAATATGAATTTAGTAACTTAAACTGTTTAACATTTAGTACACTCGCGGGGTCTCAGTGTTTAAAAAGGTGTGGTTCTGGGTGCCTGGGTGGCTCAGTTGGTTAAGTGACTGCTTTCGGCTCAGGTCATGATCCTGGAGTCCTGGGATCGAGTCCCGCATCGGGCTCCCTGCTCAGCAGGGAGTCTGCTTCTCCCTCTGACCCTCCCCCCTCTCATGTGCTCTCTCTCATTCTCTCTCTCTCAAATAAATAAATAAAATCTTTAAAAAAATTAAAAAATAAAAAAATAAATAAAAAGGTGTGGTTCTGGTGTCATCTGTATGTTAACTTCTCAACTTCCTTGCTTACAGAGTGAGTCCCAGAAAATATTTCTTTCCTGAGAGATTACTTGTCTGCAAATTCCTGTGGGTAAAGAGTTGCAGGGTGTTAAACAGGTGTGTTACTTTAATGGATAGTGTGGCGCAGGTTATTGTCTACGAAGTCAGTAAGGGTTTTCTGTGTGGTGACAGTTGTGTTTACCTATCACAGATTAATGAACTTGTCCCATGTTTGCTTCTCCCTCCTGTTATTTCAGATCAGCCTTGAGTGGAATTCGACAGAAGATGCTACGACAGTTTTATCTCTGGAAATGGTTAGCTTCAGGGATTATCCTCGCAGCCCTCTTCACAATCTGCTTCAGCCAGTATGATGATGGTAAGTCTGCTTCTAGTCTGACTTGGAGAGTTAGCTGGGGTTTCTGTTATTAAATGCAAAATGAAACACAACACTGAAATGAATAATGCTAATTTGTAGTTCATTTTTAAAGGTTAGTAGCTGTGTGAAATAACTTACCTTAGTTAAAATAATCCTACAAAAGTGGCATCTGGGTGCACCTCGTTTCTTAATAAGGATTGTGGTTCAGTAGAAAATCCAGAGCAAGTCCTCCCTTTGAACACTTACTCATTATCACTAAGTAAATGTGTGATTGCTATGGAAAACAACAACAACGTTCAATTCTATTTATTAACTCTTGAATAGACACAAGCAAGAGTTCAGATAAAGTTTGAGAATACAAAATATACCAAAATTTCCTCTGAGAAAAGATCTCTGAAGTGGTCAAAAGTAGATGCTTTAGGGGATTTTACTGTTAGCACTTTAAATGGGTATTATGTTATTTCATCCAGCACCATTTTATTTGGAAAGAAAAAAAAAAGGTAAAAGACTTGACATTAGAGTTTGTAACTTATTTCCTAACAGTAAATCAGGCACTTTAGAAAGAAATGTTAGTTATCAAGCTCCTAATGGACCATTTAACACATTCTATCTGCAGGGTCCTGAATGTGTGTGTCCTAGATATTTGAATATTAGAGGGATCTGTCTTTAAATGCCATGTAATAAGAGTTAGTGTGTGTATATATATATATATATACACAATACTTTAGGTTTAATAGAAGGAAGAAATGGACAAATGTGTCCATTCTAGAAAACTGAGTTTTGTTTTATTTTTCCTTTTCAGTGTTTTTACCCCACATTTGTTCAGTATTCGGGGCCACGGCTACAAGCAGGCAGACCCCCCCCCCCACCATTGCCCTGTTATCTGGTTGCACTTAGTGGCAGCAAAGAATGGAATTAAGATTATTTTTTATGCTTTGCTTAACTAAACTGAATGATCTGAAGATTGATGAATCGATCAGTCTTTATCCCAAACAATATTCAAACTGCACCCATATTAAGACATTCTTAGTCCTTCATAGTTAGAAAAATATGACTCTTTGGAGACTTGCAGAATAATTTGCAATAGCAACTATTTTCATAAAGTCAGTAGCCTAATTCCTTGAAAAGTGTTGCTAATTGGCACATTGCTTACTTTAAGTGTTTCTGAACTCAGTGTTCACATCGTTGCCATTTCTGGCTATTGCAAATCTCCATTCTAAAAAAAAAATAAGTGTCATAATAAATAAATAAGGTAACTGTGACTTTGAAGCAAAAATAAAAATCAATGAAACTTAGAAGAACATGGCTTTCTATTAAAAGGATGTATTTTAAATTTGCCCTAGGAATAGATGACAAATCTGTATTGATAGTTCTTTATGTCATAAGGCATTCTATTTTTATCCATATTTAGTATTCACATTGAGTGAGGAAGGATTCATTTTTCTCACATTAGACGGGCACATGCTCTGTACTTTTCAGCAATATAATTTAGGTTATCAGAGGAAATGACTCCTGGTTTAACCTGGAATGCTATAGATTGGTTCCCTTAATAAGCTCATTATAGCTCTTACTCTTTCTAAATGTGCTCACATAGCCTCCAAAATAAGATCAGGTAACTGCTGGCCCCCACGTAGTCTCCTTTCTGAAGCAGGGTGCAGCCTCACACCTGCCCCAGGCTTGCCTGCAGGAGGCCCGTCCCTGCAGGTCTGCACTGGGGATGGCCCCCTGCAGCCCTCCTGAGACTCCTGCTCAGCCTCCTCCTCCAGGGGACTCACTCAGTTCTCAGGAAGATGGAAGGGATTGGGGCTGTTAGAGAAGCATGAATTCTGTATAGTGTTTTGTAGACATCTCTTCCCTTTATGTGGTTTCTAGCATGTCTTCCATCCTTGGCCCCTCCCATCTACCTCCATGCTAATGTCTTAGTCTTTTCCTTAGGTATCCCCCACCCAGGTCTTCACTTCTCTCTGACCTCCCGCAACCAGGGACGCTGTGGCATCACTGTCATCCAGTTGTTCAGTGATGTGTGGCTGAAAATCGTTCTAATAGTTGCTATTTTTTACAATCTATATAAAATTGGGAGCCCACACTACGGAGTAAATCAGAACTCAGAAATGCGCCACTAACACACAAAATAGCACTAAACTGGAATATGCAGTAAGAATTTCTCGAAGCAATGTGTTTTTAACCCAAATGCTTGGGGATGCAGGTATATAAGATTAGATGGAAGGAAGACAATGGTGATGTCATGAACTTGATAGCAGTTTCCTCTGCTTTTCCTCTGCTTCTTTTTTTTCTTTTAGGCATACGGGAGTTATTCTGAAATAAAATATTCTACTATTAGCCAAATGTGTAGAACTGCTTCTAAGGAAAATATATAATTATTATTTAAAATATTTTATAACAAATTTTTTCACTTGAAAACTTTGGCTAAGTTTTGAGTCTTTTCATATTTTTCACTCAAATTGCTGGGGGAAGTTTCTAGATTCAGTAATAAAATTTGCAGATGACCTGTTCCATAGAGGACACTTCATTTGTTTGTTGACTACATCTAAGCAAGTATTAATAGTGTAAGTGAGATTGATTGTATTATATTAAATTTTTAAAATGAGAATTTAGCTAACTGATAGAAAATAAAAGAACATAATGCATCTTCAGTTAATGGCCTCTTTCTACCAATTGATAGCATTGGAGTTGATATTCTCGCTTATGATTTCATGCACTATGAGTCCTGACAAGTTTATTTGAATGGAAACATGTGCTCTGATCCCACATTGATTGTGGGATGTCTGGGGGCAGGGCGGATGGAGGGAGGCACCATTGAGAAGCAGAGGAAGCTGGGCCATCTGCTAAATTGTGTGTGGTGTGGGGGGAAAAGATCTATAAAAGATGTCTCTTGTTCTAACATGCTATTCACAGGGAGGTAAATAAGCAAAGTTGTGCACAGGGTTTGTTTGTTGATTTTGTGTTGATTTTGAGTTCATGAATGAATCCTAAAAGAGAGAGAGAGAGAAAGAGAGAGAGAGAGCAAGAATGGGACTATTATATATGGGTAATGGGTATGTTTTGTTTTATATTGTATGATTTCCTCTGCCTTTTCAAATTGTCCATATTAAATCGATATTACTGCCATAACCATACAGGGAAAATCTCTGTTTAAAAAACAAACTATAGGGGCGCCTGGGTGGCTCAGTCGTGAAGCGTCTGCCTTCGGCTCAGGTCATGATTCCAGGGTCCTGGGATCGAGCCCCGCATCGGGCTCCCTGCTCCTTGGGAGCCTGCTTCTCCCTCTCCCACTCCCCCTGCTTGTGTTCCCCTCTCTCGCTGTGTCTTTCTCTGTCAAATAAATAAAATCTTAAAACAAAAAACAAAAAACAAAAAAAACAAACTATAATCTGTAACATTATGACTAAGTTTAGAGTTAGAGGTGTTTTAGAAGGTATGTGTAATAATGGGGGGGTTGTCTGCCTGTCTGTCGAAGAGAGAAAGATTCACTAAGTGTGAGCACACTACGAAAGCCAGCTTGCGTTTTTTAAAGAAATTGTTCTCCCTGGCTGCTCAGGCATTTAGCTGGAAGCCAAACATCTTCTGCCTTGCCCTTGAGCTGTTATATAAATTAACACACACCTGCAATGTAAGAGAGCAGCTACATAAGCCCAACCACATGAAGGGGGGCCCCCTGAATAGGCCTGAGCCTGTTCCCCTATAAATAACACTCACTCTTGGAACTCACATTTGAAGTTTCGCATAGCATCTGGTATATGGCTAATGTTCAAGTAACTGTTGATCTTTGTTGCTATTATTACTTCTCATCACTTATAAATCATCATACTTTTTTTTAATAAACTTACATATTTATTTATAAAGAAGTACTTTGTGTCCCTGTGCATGTATACATCTTTTTTTTTTTTTTTTTTTTTTTTTTTTTTTATGTCTCTCTGAATTTACCAAACCCTTGAAGACGTTGTTAAATTACACTTCATTCTGGGAAGTATTAATGACTGTATTCTCTCCTTGGTGAGCTTCCTGGCTCACATGAAACAGGGGGAGGTTTGAGGAGTGTTTCCGGGTTCATTTTCATGCTTGCTGTTCTGTAATCTATGGAAGGTCAATGAAGGGATACACATGCCAGTCAGTTAAGAGTGTGACCGTCTAAAGTCTGAGGCCAAGACTAGAAACTTCGTTTTCATTAGTGACATTGGCTGATGCTAATTAATCTTAGAAGGGAATGGCCTATAAATTGCAATGCCGATAATAGAATTATAAGGAGCTTCTAACTATAAAATGAGCTGAAACACTTGGGTTTCCAAGCAAGGTCGGTCCCCGCTTGAAATGCCTTACAGAGAGGAGAGCTGGTTCAGTAAACGAACAGCTGTGCGAGAACGGTGGGATGGTCTCAATGGCTCCTAGTCCCAGGCTTTTCCAGACTGTCATGAGGGTGCTGTTGTAGCACCTTCCCTACCTCATGGGCTGCATGGGACCCTCACTGTCTCCCCAGGATCATGCTGGACATTGCTCAAAAATCCTGTATCTTTGGGGTAAATAGTAGTGCAATCAAAAGGAATGAGATCTTGCCATTTGCAACGACGTGGATGGAACTGGAGGGTATTGTGTTGAGTGAAATAAGTCAAACAGAGAAAGACATGTATCATATGATCTCACTGATATGAGGAATTCTTAATTGCAGGAAACAAACTGAGGGTTGCTGGAGTCAGGGGTGGGGTGGGAGGGTTGGGGTGACTGGGTGATAGACACTGGGGAGGGTTTGTGCTCTGGTAAGCGCTGTGAATTGTGCAAGACTGTTGAATCTCAGATCTGTACCTCTGAAACAAATAATGCAATATATGTTAAGAAAAAAAAAAGAAGAAGAAGAAGGTGGTGGGAGGGGAAGAATGAAGCGGGGGAAATCGGAGGGGTAGACGAACCATGAGAGACGATGGACTCTGAAAAACAAACAGGGTTCTAGAGGCGAGGGGGGTGGGAGGATGGGTTAGCCTGGTGGT